CCCCGGGCTGGGCCTGCCGCTCGGCGGCCCGCGGGGCTCCGAGGAAAACTTAGAGAAAAGTCTCCAACTTGGCATGGGGCCACTTGGGAAGGGAGGCGCTCTCCGCTCTTGCGCGCCCTGGCTGCTGGCCGCAGGTGGGGGCCAGAAGTGCGCGGGGACTCCTGATCCAGAGCCGCCGCTTGCCTCCCCCCAGACCGAAGGTGCTTGGGAATCGCTCACCGACAGACCCAGACCAGAGGCAGGGCGCCTGGCCCATCCCGACAGACCGCACGCTGCCTCCGCCGGTATACTTTCTCCGACAGCCACCTCACAGCTGAAAGCACGCTGTTCATCCGCGTCCACACCTAATTCCTCTGTGCTAGGAACCTCACTTAGAGGGAGCAGGGGAGAGAGCCAGCCGGCTCGCCCTAAGGCAGCATCTGCAGCTGCTCAAGCCTTCTGATCTCTCCACTCAAAAATGCCTCTTGAGCCCGGTCACGGGAGAGCATTCGTGGGGAGAAAGGCAGGACTGGGCCCTTCCAGATCAGCTCAGTCTAATGCTGGGTCTCCAACCAGGGCACTGCTGACGTTTGGGATCAGACTGTTTTGTGCTTGGGGCTATCATGCCTTGTAGGCCGTTTGGCAGCTTCGTGGCCTGGACCACTAGCACCACCTTCTCACTGTAACCACCGAAGGTGTCAGGTGACAAATTCAACAACTACAACAATTAAGTATACTCAGATGTTTTCGCCTTATTTATAATATAAAGCCAAAAACTGGAAACAATCCAATGTCCAGCCCTTGACTGGACAGATGTCCCCAGAGGGAAAACCGCCCAGATAGAGAACCACTGGTCTAATTCCTTCATTTCAGAGACAGGGAGACGGAGGCTTAGGGTCAGAGAGAGACAGAGAGACATAGAAAGTGAGAAATCACCCCCCAGGGGAGATGGCCATGCTGCAATCCTTTCTCCTCCATTCTCCTCTTGGGATCTTGGGCACGCACACACACATGCCCGGTGTGAGTTTAAGCTACCAGGTCTGAGACTCGAACCGCAGTCAACTATGTGGGAGTCCAGCAACATAGCCATTACGCCAACGGCTGGTCCTTCAACTTTGTTTTTAATACCCCCCAAAACAGAAGTAATCCAATGTCTACCAGTTGAGGAATGGATAAACACAAGGTAGTATATCCATACAATGGAATATTATTAGGCCATAAAAGGGAACAAAATACTAACACATGCTACAGCGTAAATGAACCTCGAAAGCGCTGTGCTAAGGAAAGAAGCCAGCCACCAAAGACCACTTTCCATTTATGTCCATTCATCCTAGGACAAACAAGCCCATAGAGACAAAAACTAGACTACCAGAGGCTGGGGTGGGGAGAGAGAATGAAGAACAACTGCTACTATTTCCGGGGATTCTTTTTGAAGTGATGGACGTGTTAGAAAAAGCTCCTGGTGCTGATTGCACAACTTCACGGCTGTACTAAAAACCTTCGAATTGCATACTTTCAGCCGTTGAATTGTGTGATATATGAATCATATCTCAATTAAACTGCCACTGTTCCTTTTATTTTAATTGCCAGAGAATACACGTGCTCATCAAAGACAGAGAAATAGAGACAGAGGGAGAGAAGGAGAGAGAGAGAGAGAACCACCCAACGAGGTATGGTCATGCTGCAATCCCTTCTCCCTATCTCCCTCCTGTCAGGATTTTGGGCGTGCCTAGCGTGTTTCTCAAGCCACTGGGGCAGGATTCAAACCACAGCTGGCAATGTGTAATCTGACTTCCTTAACCACTAGGTTATGAGGTTGGCCCCTGTCATTGTTTTAAAGGGAAAAATTGTAGCCTACAGGAAGTCACCGTGACTGTCCAGCTCACACCATTTCCCCCTCTGTTCCCCTTGCTAGCTCATAACCAGCCTGCTGGCTTGTCTGTTCCTCTGGAAGCTACTCTGCCTCCTTCCTGTACGGGAGTTTGCTCCATCTCCCTCAATAGGCTGTAGCTCCCTGTTTGAAAAGGCGGGCGTTGAGGACAGACTCATGTTCAAATCCAGCCCTAGGGCCGTCTGGCTGGGTGTACTTGGGGAAGTCCTTTCCCAGAGCCTCAGCGTGCTTGTCTGTAAAGGTGATGAGTACCAGCAAGGTGGTTGAGAGGCACCCTGCTCCCGGGCACCCCTATGATTCCTTTGTTATCCTCGAACAAGCCTGCAGGCCACTCCTGGGTCTCCCTGAGCCCTAGAGAGGTGGCCTACCTAGAACAGTCCTTCGGGTCCTTCTAGGCTGGTTTGGACAAGAGTAACTCTCTTGCAGTCCTCCCCAAAAAAGGGTTCCTCGGGACTGATACCTGACCCAAGATGAGATTTGCCAAGATCCAGAAACCTGAACTGCCACTTTAGTTATAGCCTCTGGTGGACACTGGCCAGGTGGCCCGCAGGCCTCTTCCTGGATCCCCTTTTCTCTCCCAAGCCTCACACCCCTCTCTTCCCTCCTTTTGTCTCTCAAGACGCCTGACCGGAAGTAGGCAGCTGCTGTTTTCTAGGCCTGCAAGCTCCTCCCCTGCTACCATCACCTCTTTTGTCACCGGTTTCCTTTAAGGAGCCACTCCTCCCTGCTTCACACTCATCTTTTGGGTTCAGGTGCAGATGACAACCCCCCAACCCCATTTTAAAAAGAGCACATGATTCTAGTCTGGCCAATCAGAGCCCTGCATTTACCAGTTACAGTGATTGGCTCAAGGATGAGCACATGACCCATTCTGGGACATCCCCCCCCCCATCCTCCCCTCCCTGCCTTTTGACTGGCACTCACTGTTGGGGAATGCCAGCCACCTTCCCCTTCCCCTAAGCTGTAACAGGCTGGGAGAGTACAAACTTGGGGTAGCCAGTAGCCACGTGGGCCACCATGAGCAAAAGTCTACCCATGAAGGAAGCCAAGACGGAGGAACATAATCAGAGAGAGACTAAGCACAAGTGACACCCCTTGAGGCCTAAATTCTCATGTGATTAAAACCATTAGGCCCTCAGTTAAAAGGACCACTACAGACCTTTTAATTTATCTTTCTTAAAAACCTAAACTCACCGGGGAACCAGCAGTTAGCGTAATGTCACTGGACTCCCACGTAGTCGACCGCAGTTCGTGTCCCGGACCCGGTGGCTTAAAAAACTCACGCCGGGCGCGTGTGCGCGCGTGCCTAGGATCCCGAGAGGAGAATGGAGGAGAAGGGATTGCGGTGTGACCATCCCCCCTGGGGGGTGATTTCTCGCTTTCTGTCTCTATGTCTCTCTCTGTCTGTCTGGCGAGCCCACGCGCCCTACAGTGAAAACCTCTCCAAAAAAAAAAACCCTAAACTCACCTAAGGTAGACTCCTGCTGGTTGTCAGCCAGAGGCTCCAGGCTACACCCGATTGCAGCCATCCCCATCTTCCGCGCCTTACTAGGTCAGGAGGTTGCTCAGCTGTGGCCGAACCTCAGATGGACTGAGGCTCCCCCTCGCATCAGTCTCCCAACACCTCAGAAGCCGATGTGCATCTCTGGGATCTCACGGAGTGGCTCTCGCCTCCGTGTGCTCCTTAGCCCCTTCCTCCCTCCACACAGGTGAAGCAAAGAGACTCAGTCCTGAGCAGAAGTCTGGAGATTTTCAGAGGATGGTCACCTTTAGAGAGATCAACTCTGAGCCTCTCAGGAGTCTTCGGGTTCTGTGAGTGGAGAAAAAAGTCTCCCACCATAGGTTTGCTTTTTAGAGCTCCCTCAAACCTTTCTCTGCCTCGGGTAAGAGCCTTTGAGCAAATAGCATAGTCAGTGACCAGAAATCTCCCTAAGAGCCTGAGTCAAGCTGCCAGGGTTCAAATCCTAGCTCCAACACTTGGTGGCTGGGTAATCTTAGGCAAGTAACTTGGCCTCTCTGTGCTTCAGCTTCCTCATCTGTAAGCTGGAATAACAGGGTTGCTGTGTTACTTGACCTAATGTAGGCAGGTGCCGAGACAAAACCTGGCATATGGTAAATGCTCAGTAAATGCGAGCTATTACCGGGGCGGTGACTAAGGCCCTCCATGTGTCAATCGGATCTCACAGGAAACAAATGCACTTGCAATGAGAATAATGTAATAAGGTGTAAGGGCCGTATCAGGGAGGGAGAAGTAACCCTCCCATCTATTACGTTCCTCAGCCCGAAGGGTGAGGAGGGGGGTAGTACCTGTCTCTGAAAAGGAGAGTCCTGTCTTGTAGAAACGCTCCCAGGGAAAGTTTTTTTTTGTAGAAACGCTCCCAGGGAAATAGCTTTGGTTCAGGGACACAGTCAGCTCAAGATGACCCTGAGGAAGGCAGCCAGGAAAATGAACACGGACTCTCCTCCCTCCTGCACGCCCCTGCAGTGGGCCTGGGGACCAGTTGCCAAACCTAGCAGGAAGTCAGAAGACTTGGGAGGCCATGGAGGTTGGGTGGTAGGCCAGGAGGGCAGACCTGTGGAATCAGACAACTGAGCTCTGATTCTACTCGGCCTCTGGCTGAGAACTTGAGCGGATCAGCGAAGCATGTGTCCTCAGGCAATTAAAAAAGAAAAAGAAAAAATGTCCTTAATTCATACAGACTACAAAGGTATGGACACCAGTGAGGAACCAGGAGGTCATGAAGTCCTGTCCTTGGCCAGCTTAGTCACTAGTGGGATGAGCATTGCTGTGGGAGGATGCTCTTGGGTGTGACAGAAAACCCTGACTCTAAGTGGATTGAGTACAAAGGGAATGTATTATCTCATGCAACTTGAAGCCTAGAGATAGCGCGGTGTATTGGT